GGGAGGGGACGCTCTGGTCTCTTCTCCAGGCCGCAGGGAGGGTGAGGGGGGGTCACCGGCTGAGGTTGGGAAGGGCCCTATCCAGGCCCCAGTCTCCCGGCCGGCACGCCCTCCATTGGGCCTAGGACCCCTTTACCACAGTCTCCTTCCCGACCTGCCCACTCTGGAGCGCCCGGGCCGCCCTCGTTAGTGGGGCGCATCGCCTAGGGTGTCCAAGAGGCAGGCGCCTTTAAGAAGGGGCGGGTTAGTGCCCTCCATTCAGGCCCTCCGGCCTCGGCCGTTGAGGAACCTGCGGGCTTCGCGGGCCAGAACCGCGGCGGCCGAGGCTGGACAGAGGCGGGACGCAGCAGGGCCCCCAGCAGCCTCAAAAGTGGGATCTTTAGGGGAAGAAGTTAGCAGTGACCGGGGCCTCTCCGCAGCCACGCAGGGCAGACTGGGCAGCCTCAGGAGTGCTGGTGAAGATGAATAAGCCAGATTCTACGTTGGCACGGAGGTGGTGCCAGGGAGAGCAGCAGGGTGGGCTGGCCGACCTGGAGTGAACTCTACCTCCAGCCAGCATTATCCACCCTGCAAAGTGGGGGTGGTGCTTCCTGCCTCCTGCCGGGTGACCAGTGGGAGCTGTCCCCTTCCGACACCAAGCAGACAGCCAGGCTAAGCCCCACATCTAGCAGGGCAGGAAGCCAAGGGGCCAGGTTTCCCCGGGAGGCGATTGGAAGTGACCTGCAGCCTCCCAACTCTTGAACAAATCTCTTCCCTCCCGGCCTCCCTGCCCCATCCAGGAAGCCCCTGGTTGGGGATGAAACTGAGAACTTTTAAGCTCCAGTAACTTTGGGAGGGGTCCCACAGCAATCCTGTTAGGATGAGGGTCCTGGAGCAGAGTTTCTTACCACCTGCTTCCTTTTCTTCTCCTTAGAGGTGTCTCCCCAACCTGCGGGAACCCCACTTTCCACTCCCTGGGAACTGAGCAGCTGATTGGTTCTTGGTAATGGAGGGTGTGTGTACATGCTTTTCTTACCTCATTGTGAAAAGTCTGTCTAAAGTTTCCAGCCCCTCTTCCCTACCTGCTCTCTGGGTCTCCCAAGGAGGACCCAGGAACACACACTTAGGGGTCAGATTCCCTTGGGGTGCTTGAGGCGGGGCAGCCACCCAAGTGGGGCTCTGCTTCTGTTGTTTCGAGCTGACTTGCACCAGGCTAAAGGCACAAGTGCCATTTTTCACATAATTATCACAGCCACCCTGTGGGTTTGGACCTGCTATCATCCCCATCCTACAGCAAAAGTCAGATTTATGGAAGATGAAATGACCTGTTCAAAGTCAGCCCACAGGCCAGGTCTTCAGAAAGCTTCTGACAACAGCTTAGATCTACTCCTGACTTCTGCCATGGCCTGCAACCTGCATTGCAGAGATTGGGAGATTCAGGGCTGTGGGCCTCCTAGCTGCAGGCCTTGTGGGGTTCTGGTCACCCCAGAACCAGGGAGCCCCCCTCCCAGCCCAATTCTACTCTCCAAGTGGTGCCACAGGACAGTCAGAGCTCATGGGCCTGGGGAGGTTCTCTGCCCCTTACCTGCTTGAGGCTGTTTTTACGGCTGCTCTCTCCCAAGGGACAGCAGGTGTGACCTCGACACAAGGTCACAGCCCACACTGTTTGGGCAGAGCTAGGCAGGGCACATTGTGTGGGAGTGTGGCATTATTTGCCTCTTCTGAGTGAAACAGGGTTTGTGTTCCATTCTCAGTGATTTCTGAGCCTCTGAGGACAGGACCCACCTGGGCATCCACAGTCTGGTGGAGGAGATGGGCCGCAAGCCAGGTGGCGCTGCAGAGGGGAAAGGGTGGAGGCAGGACAGGCCAATGGGGTGTTCCTGGACCTCTAAGCTGGGGACCCTGCCAGCTACTGGGGGAGGAGTGGAAATAGGCGGGGTGCTGAAGAGTTCTGGGAACTTGAGCTAATTAAGGCAGGAAACCTTCATTAGCACCTGCAGCTAATTAAGCTCTGGGGTGACCAGAACTGAGGGAGCACAGAGGTCTCAGGCATCCCTGGTATGTGTCATGAAAAAGAAGGCAGGCTGGTGGGCTGAGTGACAGGGACTAAGAGCATTGTGCAGGTCTGGGTTGGGATAGGGCCCAAGGAAGGTCCTTGACACTTGGGAGAGAGGGAGAGGCTTCAAGGACCAAGCCAGTGGTAGAGAGGGGCCCCTCTGCTCTGCCACCCCCAGGAAGGCAGGGTAGAGAGGACAGAGCAGAACAAGTGCAGCTGCAGTAAGCGCAGTCTGCTCTCCACAACCAGGGCCCACTGGGGAACTGTCCAGCACGGGGCGCTCCTGAAGGAACACGGGCCACCTATCTTTTGAGACCCCAGGCCCTGGCTTAGCTTGTCCTGGTCTCCCCTCCTACTCCTCTGAACCCCACTTCCTGCAGGTCCCATCTGTGGATTCCCTTGCCCCTCCGCATCTCAGAGTGCTCCCTCTCTTCCTCCAGAGCAGGGACTGGGGTCCTCCACTCTGTGCTGAGAGGGTCTCCCCAGGAACAGTTCCCTGCTGGAAGTAGTGTGGGTTCTGCTCTACTCTCGCCCATTCTGTGACCCTGGACTCTCCTGAGTGGCACTGACATGCAGTAGGAGCCTGCAGAATCCAGCACATGAGAGGCTGGTCGCCTCCCACTTCAGAACCCCACTTCTACATGCGTACAGTGGGAGAACTCCTTTCCTGAAGGGAAGATGTGAGGGGAGAAAGGTTTTAAACAGAAACATGGTCCAAACAGAAGGGGTCCTGCAAAGTGGACCTAAGGGGCCTGGATTTGTGGGGAGGGGTCGGCAGGAAACAGAGTGGCCAGGGAGGACAGCTGTGCCCCAAGCTATTGGAGGAAAAGTGGGAGGGATGGATGCAAAGTA